TGCATAAACATAAAATTATTACTTTTAAAAAAACTTGCCCGATCTTAAATTTCGCCGAAACAACAGCCAACTTAGCGAAAAGTCCGGGACTTCAAGCACATCGTCTTTCTACCACGGAAAGAACGTACCGATACCCGACTTCGACATTGAGTTGGAAAGTGCACTTTTAGCCCTGACTTCAGATGCAACTGAATTATTCAACAATCTTAACGGCTTTCTCCGGACACGAAGACGAACACACTGCACACTTAGCTAAGTTTTAGTGTGAGGTCTCTTTGTGGGAGAGAACTGCTGCCACTCAGTCCGCAACGAGTTTGACGAACAAATACATAATAATGAGAGAACAAGAATATATATATATATATATATATATATATATATATATATATATATATATATATATATATATATATATAATATAAAAATAATACGAGCTTACCTACGTGAAAAACTAGAGATGATTTTTGAATCCTGTGCAACATTTAGAATTGTTGATATTTTGCCCTTTGCTTTCTCACTTCCGTATTTTTTCTTTCTTGCTTTTTGAAGGATCGGGATCCACAGTCTGAAGAATCCTGGATCATCTGATAATTTGAATCTCCTTTATCCTATATAGGTTTGATATTTTGGTCTGGATCGCAATATTAGTTTGAATGTTAAAATCCTTGACAATTTTATAAAGTGCTCTAAAAGAAGTTTTGATTTTTACAGAGGTCGTTTTGAACAATTTCCAGTGGATCAACTACCCACTTCAGTACTGTCTTTTCCCTCCTAATCAAATTTATTTTTTAATAACTGATATTCTGATCTTTATCCTCTTTATCCTTTATCCTCAATGTTTACTGTTTTTTTCTTATGGTTCTTACATAATTGTTCTATAAAAATAGGGAATAAGTTTCTTTCTTCAAATGTCCTCTGCGCAACCATATTCTTGTATCGTAACAGAATCACTGATAACTACCATTAGCAAAATTTAAGTCTGCAATATTTTCGTAGAAGATTTACTAAAAAATAACTGAATACAATATAAACGGGAAAAGATTTATAAAATTGGAATAAATAAAAATGGTAAGAATTCTGTGTCAGTGTCAGCAAGAAATTTGGCAAATTTTTAACCATTTGATCTTTTATAGTTGAGCGAAAAAATATTTGGCAAAGGAATGCTTTCAAGTTTTGAAGAATTTTCTTCTTGCACAAAAAAATCAAAGAACATTATCAGGAATTTTGGTTCTGTGGGAAAATTATAAATTCGCAAGCATTTTTTAAAGAAAAGAATGATAAAAATCTTTCAAATGTAGAACGAACAGATTTCTCTCGTCTCTCTTTTCCTGGCTGCTCACTCTGTCAACCTCGAGCCTAAAATAACATCGACCATGATCGATTCCAGAGAAAACCAAATGACGCAAAACATATTTAGAATACGGCTCTTCTTTTTATAAAACCAATTTTCAGTCTATTTCGAATCTAATAATTTTAATATTTCAATAATTAAGCCATTAGTAATTAATGATATTTATTTTAATCTTTCTGACGTCATCAAATTAATGATTAATTGTCAAAATTATTTGTAATGGCCGAAGAATTGATTCGGAATGCCATTTATAATAAAACTTTTTGTATATGCGGATGCAACAATGTTTAAGCGAATCGCGCAAATCATTACGACTGTAGTGAGGTGGATCCGCACCAAGTGTGACTCCTTATGTTCTTGTGTCATACTAAGTTAAGCCTTGTCAAATTTGCAACTTTCATCTACGTGGTAAGCTAGTTGAATTTTTAAAAAAAATCTTTGGATATTGTCCCAATAGCAGTGACGTCTATGAAGTTCGCACTTTCTACATTAACAAAAAACTCCTTCTTTATGTGCAGTGTCCCCTTAAGACGTAAGCAATCATGGCTCTCCACAACTTCCTGTCCCTTGTAGCGCTTAATAAACTTTGTCTTTCTCTTATATCTCCTAAGCCCTGCTCCGCCATCCATTTACTCAAGCTCATTATCGATATCATGCGTTATTTTCCTCTGTCCCTCCTGCCCTCTAGCTGTTCCGTGAGTATCAGATTTTCCAAGCCTTCCTTCCTCATTATATACCCCAGAAACCTCAACAGTCTCTTACTGATCATAGGCATAAATTTTCTTTTTGTTTTCATTTTCTCTAAAACATCACCGTTGCTGACATCTTCATCTCTGAAGAGATTGTCCAGAAAAAGCTACAATGTTTATTTGCTTTTCATAATAGTAAGTCTTTAAGTAGTCGAATGTGTTCAACCCACTTGGCAGTTTGAAAAAACAAAAACAAAGAAAAAACCCAAAATGTTTACACCAAGTGTACGTACGAGGTAGGGGTTTGTTTTCGGAAAAAATATAATCTCTCTGTTGCAATCTGTTCAGATCTAACTTTCATTCTACTTCTTTAATACGATCATTATATACATCTCCGGTGGCAGTTGTAGCCTTGTTTAAGCTGGTCGGTTGATTTTATTTAGAAACTCTGTGGGTTATTTAATACCGAAGTCTAAATATTTTGAACACAATTATATGGATTCAACTAAATATATTTTGAACGCAGTATCTGTCTATATTTCTGAGATGAATTATTATGCACATTATTTACATTATTCGGACTATTGTCCTTTGTCGCCATATTTATTACAACGTTTCGGCCGATTAGAATGTTGAACTGAATCCTTTATTTCGCTCACAGGGGTAGACTGTTCTAGTTCCACGTACCATGTTTAATGGGTGTCAGTTATCAGTTATCTCCTGTTAATTTCCCTCTGCCTTAACCGGATATTAAAATCACACTCTTTGGGTCCTGTCACTGGATCTAACTAACGCCTTTATGCACTGTGCCATGTGTTCTTGAGGACATCTGTGTATGAATTTCTGGATATTATAATTATTATTATTATAAACCTAATTTTTTCCGCAACCATTTTTTTTTACCAGTGTTCATATTGCAATTTTTGCTGTTATCATTGCATGTTTTCTACCAGAGCTCATATTGCAATGTTTTTGTTATTATCGCTTTTTCTGGCACTCCTTATTACTGTTTCCCATACTGTATTCATTTCTATGCTTGGTCGGCTCAGGAGAATCTTTTTTTTGAATTTAACTACAGATAAAATGTATTGTTGGTCATTTTGTTATAAAATGCATTGGTAGCCATTTTACTATAAATAGGTATTGTTGGTCATTTTACTGTAAACAAGTTGTGTTGGTATTTTTACGATAATAATTTATTTTTATACTTTCATAGTGTTTTGCTTTTGTTTGGTGTTTTATTATTTGCCCATAGCTGCGACTCGTAACAAGTGCTACCACCCTGGTTCAATGTGAAGCTTGGAACCGCATCAATTAAGATGTGGTTCCCTGCTCTTCAAGACCTCCAATCTCCCTATCAGAGGCCTTGCTGCCGGATGTAGTTTATCGTCATACCCAGGACTATCTTGCTTAAGTCGAGATTTCGATCACTGTGTTCAAGACATCCACACTTCCTCTTATCTGGAAAATTATCTACACACAGCATTTTTGTTTTCTTATCTACCTTATTAGTACAAATCTAAGACCATTCAAACCACTGAAAGGGAAACTCATTTACGAGATTTCGAATGAGTTATCGATAAGATTTCAATCGAAATAACTTTGCTAATCACTAGGCGAATCCATGCAGTTTTTATTTTCCGTTCATTGATGTAAGCACGGAACAGTTGTAATGTTTCACCAGTGAGGATCTAACTAGTGACGCTAATAAGATGGATTGGATAACCCTTGCATTATCGGAGGCTACCAATACTGAAAAACGAAACTATTTTTCATGCAAATGTCAATATTCTTTAGATAAGAAAACAATTTGTCGAATAATTCTATTATTTTTCAGTTTGGAAAGGGATTAGCCGCTGAAAAAGTTTAGATAATCCAAAATAAAATCACTAAAAGGAAAATCGAATTATTCAAATTAATTAAAATCGTTTAATTATTGGAATTAATTGAACTCACAATTAAAAAAAACAATGTTTCATCTTGCAATTCAAGCTGATAATAATTTAGGTAAAACTCCCAAACACATGCTTGAAATAATTTTATAATAGAATCTTCGGTTATTTTATTTTCATTCAGTATGAGTACCCATCAATTGTAATTCATTAAGCCACTAAAATAATAATTCAAGGCAGAAAAAGTAAGGGAATTTACGATACAAATAAAACTGTGTACATATAACCAGCACTTCTCTGCTACTTTTCTACAACTGATACAGTTTTTCCATCGAGCGTACGGATAAATTCGAAGAGACACTCTTACCCCTCTGCAACAACAGCGTCATTAGTGTAAAATCGCCTCCTAGGTAAATATCATTTAAGAGGCCCACAGGGGTGATAATCTGTAGGAGCCAAATAACGACTCTACGAGGATGTGACCCTCCAACTATAGAGTCATTCTTTAACCACGTTGGCCATATTTTCGTATTATAACAGCGTGACACCCTCATCCAAATGTTCTGGTCTCTTTCCATAAACAGCTTTCCTTAGTTTGTCACCGTTTGCATTCTAAAACACATTTGGTATTAGTTTCTTTGTTGAATGTTGAACTTTATATTTGCGAGAGGAGTCGATGCCAATGGATTCTGCCGGAAAAAACAAAAAAACTTTTGTCTGTATGGTAACATCTGATCATTAGTAATCATGTACCCCAGAACGCGCTTTTCAGTTCTCCTATGCTGCTCCAAAAGAGTGTTGATTGATTGATTTTTGACGTCTTATCAACCTTTTTACAGTTTATTTAAAGCCAGAAAATATTTCTAGATTGTAAGACATTTTTTCATATAATAATGATGTACTGATACAAGTGCTACTAATTAATCCATAGGTGGGGGTAGAAAAGGTAGATTTATATCTTTCCTAAGGGCATTTGCGCGTAAGTGAATAAAAAGAACCTGATTGGAATTGGAACTCGACCCTCCGATTTCAAATTCCGAGCCGTTATATCAGCCGTACCTCCAAGTTTACAGTACATAGTATCACCAAGTGGTCAGCCATCTAAGTACTGACCAAGACTCTATGTTGCTTAACTTCAGTGATCGTACGAGGACCGGTGTTTCAACGTGATATGGCCATAAGCCTCCAGACGCTAGAAGAAATACTCATTTCTTTGGAACTTGCCAAATTATGTACGACAAGTGTCAATTGTTTTTGAACCCAACCAAATGAAACTTTTTTATATCTCAACCTTTCCTGGATGATTTTGTAGAGAACCTATTTTGATAGATCAAGATTGATAACCATATTCTGAGGTTGCGCCGTTTATCAACTTGAAGAAATACGCGTCATGTTGTCACTGGTTGTTGATTAGAATATTTTCGATTAGAATAATTGCCAAAGCAGGGAGAGGAATTCCGGAGTAGCGTGGGAAATAATATACTGAGGGGGAACTTATTTGGTGTGGTGGGAGATAGACGAGAAGACAATGTTCTCGGTCCGTTCAATAAGAGGTTCCCCCCACAAAAATTCTGACGTTTGGTTAGAATTTTTGGATATGATTCTTGCAAAGGATATTTCAGACAAATTTTATTAATGACATTTTATTTATATATATATATATATATATATATATATATATATATATATATATATATATGTTTAAATTTAAATTTTTAAAGTAAAAAAGAAATAGTTTTAAAAGGAAAATAATTAAAAGAGTTGTTGCATTTTGGTTATTAGATTTCTGATTCTGTATTACGGAGGGGGGAGTGAAAAGTTCATAAGCCTGACTATGAAGGAAGGCTTCTACAGATGTTATGCATTAATTCCAACTCTTCTTATTAGTAAACATATTGCTTCTTTCCAGGTAAACTGATATCTCACTGTTTGAAGAAGACTTCAGAAGTAAATAATAGCGACATCTCTTGAGAATGGTCGCAATTTTGCATTGTGGTGTTGTCAAGTACCTGCAGAAAAAATTCCAAGGACATTGATGCTGACATGACTGCTACATGAGAGGATGACACTGTAAATTTATCAACAGTGCAAAAGTGGGCAGCTGAATTTGGGAGTGAAAGAGAGATTCTTGAAGATGGCCCAAAATCTAAACGCCCTTCAAGTGGCTTCCAGGAGGAAAAAAAAGATCATGTTCATCATAAGGGGATAGATAACAGGTGACTGACAATAAATCAAACAGCCAATGACATTACAATATCCCATGAAAGAGTGGAGTATATTGTGCACACTGAATTTGGCAGGATGAAGATTTCTTCTCGGCGGCTGCCACGTCTTCTGACACCTGATCAAAAGCGAGCTAAGTTGAGCACATTACGGAAAACTCTGACATTGTTAGAGGCAAATCCAACTGGTTTTCTTGAATGTTTCCTAAACCAGGATGAGCGTTGGGTTCATCAGCCAGAAACAATTCCTACTCCTCCTCACCTGCCCCAGAGAATGCCAAGTCGTTTCATCTGCAGGGAAGTTGGTTACTACCGTTTTTTAAGATTCAAAAGGCATTGTGCTTATCCACACCATCAATGGAGAGTACTATGTCAACTTGCTGAGTCAGTTATGAAAGTCTATCAGGACGAAACGCCCAAGAAAATTGGTGAAAGGTGTTTTGTTTTACCAGGAACAATGCTCTAGCAGACAAATCCTTGATTTCAACAGTTGCTAGTTATGAGCATCGATTTCAATTGGTTGATCACCCTCCCTATTTTCTCCAACATTTCACTCGGGACCAGTATCGCTGTGATGATGACGTCATAACTGCTGTTGATAATTAAGTCATATAATGACGTCATAATACATAATGACGTCATTTGTTGTTGAGGTCTTAATATATAGTGACGTCATATGTGCTGTTGATGTCTTTTTTGACCAACGGGATGAACAGTCTTCTTTAAACAGTCAGATGTCAGTTTACGTAAAAATAAACAAAGTAGTTATTAATATGAAGAGTTGAAATTAATCCATGGAAGATTTGCAGCAGAAGAAATTGTTAGCATGGAACTTATGGTTCCGATAACATTGCAAACTCTTGTTTGTATTACTAGGATTTTCTAAATACATAGCAGAAGCACCAAACCAGATGTGATAACAATATACAAAGCACGAAAGTATGGTAGACTTATAGATATATAATATAGAAGCTGGCACGATACAAGTGAACCAACTTTCCTAGCAGATCTACCAATTTCATTCCACTTCATGTCAGTGAACGAAGCTAGCCCACGAATGCGCAATAGATCACTCTCCTGGAGATTAGCATCAGCCATAGTGTTGAATGACAAAAAAAAGGGTCTCCCAGAGAGTAGTTTCGTTTTGCAGCTGTTAAAATGAATCAGCCATTTCTTGTTCCAGTTAACAAGAGATTGTAAGTCTTTTGCAATCAGTTGCAAATTTGACTTTATCGAACCGATCACACTTACCATGAAGTCAGGAGTATATACAGTCGAGGACGAAATTATTCCTACAATTATGAATATTTTTATCCATTTCTCAGAATCTAATACCCGTATGATGCCAGGTTTTTATATGGTAACAAGCACAAAAAAGAAATAGAAAATTTAATTTTCAGAAGGATACATCAAATGGATAAAAAATATTCAAAATTGAATTGTGTACGAATAATTTGACTGTAGTTGTGTTTAGATACCGATATGAGAACTGACGACATCAGGAATGTCGTTGATCATAATTAGGAACAATTTAGGATAGGGGGCCTAGTGGACACCCGCATTAAAGGAAAATATATATGATATAAATATAGTATTGTTCAATATTATCCTAACATAGCGTCATAACCCAAGATATATACGTGAGTGTGTGCGTATATGTGCGTCTGTTGGACTCATTCCGTCGATTCCAACGTAAAAGGGACAAACAGTTCACTTTAGAAGTGGACCTCTAGGATATTCCCCAAAATGATTTAATTATAGTGGTGAAGGCTTGTGTAGAACCGGATATATTTTTGGAGGAACTGATGACAAATAATTGTTTGCGCATTGTGCAATGAAGTCTCCCATGCAATCCTACTAAGGTTTCAATTAACAGTTTTCCTTCTCCAAGAGAGGCTGCTAAACAAGACAAGAAAGTCTAATCAGCCCTGCTATTTAACCCATAGCTGGAAGAAAATAGATCCATACCTTTTTCAAGTTTAATAGAATCGAAAGGAATTTGAAGTCGGCTCATTGATTCCAATTAAGCTTAGTTTAGTGTGGCAAATGAAAATCATTCAAGTGAGGCCAAACTGATTTTAAAACATTGCGTTTAATTTAACTTCCACTCACTTCCACGTTAAATTATAAAATGATTCCAGCAGCGAATGGCGTCACTAGTAAAATACACATCTCTCTTAACCACAAAGCAAGATATTGATATTTAATAAGATGAGTTTAAATTAAGACAAGACTGAAGAATATTTGGCGCAGCACTAACAAATTCGTATTCGACGTAGAGTTGCTTTATGGTAGACGCCCCAAGGAATTCTTTCTTAGACATGAGTACAACTGGTTACATGATTCATTGTGAGGAACTTTGATTATTTTAAAATCTGGGACAATTTTTTTTCGCTAAAATTGAGAAAGGATTTACTATAGAAAGAGAAAAAAATAAAATTTTTTTTTTTAACAGGGAAATTGAAACATTTAATATTGAGTCGAACGATTCTGATAAGAAATGAAATTTTTTTTTAAAAATTCATTTCAATAATGTGTAAGGCAGGGCGTCTAACTCAGTGTTCTTTTGTTTAAGCAAAAACTGCAAAAATATTTTTTTATTATCGTAGAAGTTTGTATAATTTTTGCAGATTGAATTTATTATCAGGAAATTCTGAATATAAAATAATTCAAATAATATTCGTTGCTAGAGGAACTGAATAATTATTCGATATAATATGATCATTCTGAATTCCCATTCAAAAATTTTGAATATTAATTTATTCTGATATCAACTGACAATCGGATATCGAACTCAGAAAACTGCTTTTCAATCAGAGGAAGTTTAAACATTTTTTTGAATTCGCTGATTGACAGTTTTATTAGTTTACGCTTTTTTTTGCCAGTTTCTTCATCTTTTTGGTTGATTTCATTACAAATATTTTTAACTGAAAGAAAAAGTAACTTCCGATGAGACGAGAAATAATAAAAAGAATTTTCATCTCAGAAACTGAAAACAACAAAGTAGTATGAGTAAATAAATTTGCTTTCGATTGTATTCGTGAAGTTTTTCGAATTAATACACAAAAACCTTTGGAGGCAACACGTAAAATTTCAAAAAGAGGAAATAAGATGCAATTAAACAAGTAATAGTGAAAAGAATCACGAAAACAAGAAATAAAACCTGGAAGAAGACAACGAAAAAAGTAATAAAAATAATTCTTTTTGTTTTTAGTGCAAATAAACAACCATTTTGAAATCTGTTGAATACGTAAGTCAGTGATCATCATTCCAAAATTTCATTTTTTATTTCTGAAAACTTTCTTCATTATTTTCGTTACTTTTTTTTTTACAAATTTTGGCCAATCTATTATTCTGTATTAAATTGCGACAATCTATTATATATATATATAAATATATATATATATATATAAATATATATATATATATATATATATATATATATATATATATATATATATATATATATATATATATATAATCTCCGATTTCAACTCAAATAACAATTCTTTTTGCTCCAATCTTTGATTTCTTTTTTGCATGTCGTTACGTTATAAAGAATTTCACCTAAATAGATTTTCTTTTTTGTTTTAAGAAACTTTGATATAATTTGAAAGTTGAAAAATTTTCTTTCAGAGTTTGGATAGCATAGCACTTTTATTTTGTTACTGATTTAGACACAGCAGCGTGTTGAAAAAAATAAAGCAACATCATCGACTCTATCACCGAGTATATAGATAATAGCCAAAACAGTTTCACATTATTCTATATATATATAAATATATATATATATAATGAATAATGTGTATATATATATATATGTGTGTGTGAGTGTATATACCTACATACATGCATGCACACAATACATAAATATACACTTTCTTAAATAGTTGAACTGATTACGGCAAAGAGAACATAAGCTTTCTTCCAGCAAAACGCGTCTTTGATTAAAATTTTCCACTTTGTCTCTCAATATATATATATATATATATATATATATATATATATATATATATATATATATATATATATACAACACAGGCTGGAAACATCTTGAAAATGTCCATATACCAAAAAACAGACCAAACATCAAATTTTGTGAGGAAGGATTACTTGATAGAATATACTTATATATATATATATATATATATATATATATATATATATATATATATATATATATATATATATATATATATATATATATATTGAACAATACAAAATATTGAGAAATTCAAAAATTAAAATTTACTGACACACTAGGTTGTATATTAATATTTTTTGTTTAATTATTTCAATTAGATTCCTCAACTAATTTCGACCAGCATGGCCATCATCAGGAGAAAAAAATTCGCTTGATCGTAGCAGTGAACTCCAGGAATGAATGACTCTTTGAAGAAAATGAATATCTGTAGTTTTCATTTGTTTTTTTCAGCGTTAATTTTGGTCATTCCTTGTGTTGGTCAAACGGTGTCTTTTTAAGTTTTTTTTTTTTCAGTTACAGGCTGGATAGATTCATGCTACTCTGAATTCCTTTTGGTCTTTTTATATATATATATATATATATATATATATATATATATATATATATATATATATATGTGTGTGTGTGTGTGTGTGTGTGTGTTTATGCATCAAGTTATGTCTTTCTATCTATCTCTATGTGTAGATGCGAGGGCATGCTGCAAACTTCCATCTACCAAAATCTGAATTCGAAGTCGGCTCTCCGATTAACAATTACGAGGCATTATCCACTACACCACCCGCACTGCAAAGCTTACAGTTACTGATAATTCCAAGTGGTCACTCCTCTAAGTATAAACCAGGCTCAACGTTGCTTAACTTCAGTGATTGTACGGAAACCAGAGCTTTCAACCTGATGCGGCCATAAGACTGAGGCAAAAAGACAATGAAAGAACAGCATCCAGGAAGATTGTGTTGCATTAAAATTTTTGAAGATTATGGAAATCTGAAGAGAGTTTCCTAAGTTAGAAGTGTGAGAAAAGTAACTGCTAGAATAGGATTAAGTGAAAGAAAGGACATTACAGGAGAGTTTTTTTTTTTGTTTTTACTTTCGGTTGTTTTAACTGTAGAAATTTAATTGACCGTAACGAGTGAAAATCTTCTTTGTTCATTTTAGCTGTCCAAAAATTTAAGCAAAGTAGAAGTGAACAATAGTTAGTTGCTGAATGATCCATTAAACAAATTGATTTTTTAACTTTAGAAAATCAACATTTCACTCGATTTCCAAGCTGTGGCTTGATGCAATAAGTACTGACACCAAAGTTTAGATTAATAGATTTTATTAATTTTTGAGAATTTAATTTTAAATATTGTCTGAAAAAATATGTGCAGAAATGCCTAACTTCCGCAGGTTTTTGCTTACAGACTGACTTCAAAATTTCATTATTTCAAGAACAAATACAAATAAAGTTAATATATTTTGTATTAGATAAATTCAATGGAAAATATGTTCAAACCAGGATTGTAATTATGAATAACCACAAGTAAAATAAATAATTTTTAATTGTATTCGTTAAGTAAAAACTATATAAAAATTGTAAACATTACAAAAAAGCTACTCAATGAATGAGATTTGTTAGGTCATTTCTTAGTCATAATTAAAGCAAAAAATAGATAAAAGTATATAGAACACCATAATACTACTGAGCACAAATTATGAGACAAAATGTTTTAAATTTGCATTTTATTGATAGAAAATCGCACTTTAAAACTACTGCACTTTATAACATATTACCTCATAATATAGATACATTGTTCAGTATAACATCCCGTTGAACTAAATTAATATCTTATTTGATGGCTCAATAATTTAGTAATAATGTGCTTGTGTCATGCATTTTGTCCAGATACAAATTGAAAAGCTTCAGTAAATTCTAAATATTATAAGGCTGTGCTATAAGGCTTTTACTGATCACCGGAATGAAATTCCAACGCTACCATTTTCAACTTAAACTTGACCTTTAAATTCGTTTCCTCAAAAAACGATAAGGATTTGGAAAAAAATATTTTGACTCATTATTTATTATGTCAATCCACAACTTACAAATTGAGTGCAATACCACGGATCTAAAATCAACTTTCCCTAATGATCAATATCGATACTAATATTATAACACATACTGAATTTAGTGAAAAGCAAATGATGAAGACATTAGTCCGCGTGTAAATTATAATAATTCTTCATCCCAGAAATTTAGACAGAATTTATTGGAAAGCATTGTTTAATATGAAAGAAATGACAGGTTATCAAATATTTGAAAGTCAAGCGAATTTTATTGTTTACCATCGTTGAAAGATCAGGTTAACAAATATTCAATAATCAGAGGTCCTGTCAATTGGGGTCAAAAATATCCCTGTGGAGACACACGTTTAATCTATTTATGTCTACCTTCTTTTCGTTTTTACACTCATGCCTATTTATATATCTATTATTTATCAACATTCAGTCTTAAATAATCTGAAAACAGTGATTTAACGTAGAAGAAACCAAAATTAAATTGTATGCTTTTGCTTAGTAGGTATTTATTCGCACGTTCACTCGTATTGACCGAGGTACAAAGTCGGATTTAAAATGGGATGTGGTAGCTGTACAAAAACTATTTAAACCACTTCGGAAATTCCCCTTTTTTGGGACGCCACAGGCTCTATCTTGGGGGAAGCGGTGCCCTTGAGGCTCGAATGCTATTGTTTAGTGTAAAAGCCATAGAGGACAGAGTATCATGTTTTAGGGGTGTTTCTCTGAATTTCAAATTGAAAGTGTCTGTTAAATATTTAAACTGAAGCGTAGTAGGATCTTTATTTATGGCAATAAATAAGGAGAATACATCTTAAATAAGATAAGAATAAAGTTTAGCTTTCACAGAGTCGCAACTTCAAAGTGAACACTTATAAAATTGAATTAATACGTGAAAGAACAACAAAAACAAGAAATCTGCAACAGCTTGACGATTATTAGCAAAATTTCTCTGTATATGTTGCTATTAATTTACTTAACCGTGGAGGCTTCAAAGTGGTGTAATAATTCTAAGCTTGTCTCGCTAAATCAGTTACGGCTGAGTAATGAATTCGATCCTCAGTGGCTGCTCTATACTTTCAGCTTCATGCCGCATCTAAGCACTGATTTAGTTAAATGGTTACTGAAAAAGTTTTAGCTGAAACAATGAGGTGAAAAGGGCTATTAATTTTCTAGCGCCATTAATTTTTGAGATACAAATATTTTTCGTTTGTTTATAATTATTCAGAATTAAATATTAAATTTTTTGTTTATATATTTTGCTAATTTCACATTTATCCCTAAGCTATTTTTAGGGAATTTTTATTATTCAATAACCTTTGTAATTATTTCCAGTAAAGTAACATAATTTTTTTTTTCGATTTGATCAACAATGTTTGATTTATTTTTTATGACTTACCAACCTTTTGTAAGTTGTTGAATGGCGGGAAAACGTTAGAAAGAAAAGTAAAGAGAAATTGAAAGAAAAGAATGAAGTGAACAAAACGTGTTATTTAAGGTAATATGTGGATTAGTAAAAAAGATTGTAGGCATAGAGCTACAGTGAAGAATACGGTGAGGCTCGAACCATCGTCACTGGCCTGGGATCTTCAATATAGGCATACGAATAATCTCCCTATAATAATGTTGAATATGCGTATCCACCGAACAAAACAAAACAAAAAAAAAATAATGATTAGTTTTGTTAATATTCCAATGTTTATTGACATCAACACCAAAATAGTTTTGAGAGATTCAGGTGATTATGTTTCGAAAACAAATACATTACTGTAATTCCCCATGTATAATGCGCATTTTTTCTAAAAAAATAAGCAAAATTAGAAGTGGATATTATGTACAACTACAAAAAAATCTTTAAAAAATTGCCGTTTCAGAAGTCGATTTCAGTTACAAAATGACTACTCACCATAAACATACGACAATTAGACACTAACATTCGGCGATTGCGACCCCATAAGGATGTCAAATACAATCATATGTACCTAACAATACTTACAAATGTAAAATAAAATAAGAATTATCATAAAACTAAATTAGAATAATATTATTACATGTTTAAAACATTTTTGTTAATAAAAGTAGGAAACGCTGACCGTAATGAATTTGGAGAGGTACAATTTATAGGCTTTGATTACCAAACAATGGATGCGTATTATGCGTAAGTAGAAGAATTTTCTCACACTTTCAGCGCAATTTTAGGGGTGCGTATTATGGATGAAGGCGTGTGGAATTAAAATATGTAGTAATTGGTCATGTGAAGTTAGGATAAAATCCGTTTAAATTGAGTCATTTAATGATAAGCTCATGTTGTGGAAAAGTTTTAAAATGCATTTTTCCTTTTAAACCGATTATTATAATAATTTCTAAGTTACTTTCCTTGATTTTCGGTGTATAACAAAGTGGTGTGTCTGAAACTAAGTTTTACTTCATGAAGCAATAGAACAATAGTCTTTTATAGATAACTATTATCCTCTTTGTATTAACTGCAGTGGTCGAAAAATTTAGTTAAATCATTTACATTAATTAGCTTACAAAAGACAGAAAAAAACCATACATGATTTACACTTATGAAAAAGTGTTGAATTTACATCGCTTTTCTACAGGTTTAGGGAATTCTGTCGACCAGGTTTTTAAATTAAATATCCGAACCTCTGAATTACAAACAATAACAACATAAGAATAAAAAAAACATAGACATTCCTGTTAAATAAATGATTTGTATTTACAAACATATTTACATGAATTCAAATGAGTAAAAAAAGGAGTAAAAATAGTCTTTAGTTGAGTTATAGTCTTTAGGTAGTTGCAGTTGAAAAAAAACTTTTGAGTAGTTGGACTATTGTCAAAACTGCGTTAGAGTTAAAGTGTTAGTCCACAGTAAAATCGGTTGTTGAAAAAAGACTTTGATCGTAAGTGAAGATTCACTGACCGCTCTTTCAGTTGTTGTTGGAGATCATTCGTTTGAAGTCGCCGACACATTTTTCTTTCAGCACGCTCTGGTAGGGAAAGGAAATGCTATGTAGCCATATCTTCTCTTTTGTTTGAACGGCTTGCAAACAATTGCATCTCTGCCGCTGAATGTCGAAATCTGTGGATTTTTGTAAGAATTTTTTTCCCAAAGTGGGCTCGGAAAAAAATAGGGTTTTAATTTTCTCTGACTGGTCAAATATTTCACATTGTGATGTTAATTTCTAACCAATAGACACTTTGATTTAAACTGTGTGTGTTGTATTGTCGAGTATTTTGGTGTGTTTGTAAATAGTGTCTGCTATTGGGTAGAAAATAAACTTTGGGCGTGTTTTAATATGGTATGTATGTGGGTATGTAATTGTTTTGGAAACAGGATTTCTTTCCTATATTGGAAATAGGGTTAACTTTATATCTCTTTCTGCTAAAAAGAATCGATTACGATCATACTGCATTTCCACTTAAAAAGTTTCAAATGTATAGCACATGTCCCCTGAACTTATATTACCATCCTACTGAGAAAATGGCTGCGTTGATATCGTTTTCCAATTGAAAAATGATTTTATATCAATTCCTATAACTATATCTCTTATCATTCTACAAAAATACTGTATTTTCTATGATTTTTTACCTATATCCCTCACCTATCTACTGGAAGAAAAGACAAAATTGCTATCGACTTTCCAATAGAAAAGAAATGCCTCCACTAATGTCGAACGTTAGATCCAGTTTGTATTTGAACGTATTTCCGGATGTGAACAGTTCTACCCCAAGTGACTTGAAATGCCACCGATTGCAATATTCTAATGCACTTAGTCTTTTAAGATTTGACGCTTGACTTGAGGAATCTTCAAATATGCAAAAGCACTTCGTTAGATGATTTGTT